CACTACCAACAGAATGGTCTTGGAAAGCTTAAATAGCTTAGGTGAACATAGATGTACTTGAGGTGTTAGGGTGCCAAGTGGACGATAGTTGTTGTTATATGATTGTGGTTAGCATCGGGTCTTATAGAGCATGTTTATGGTTGAATGTATAATGTAATAGTAGAGCATGTCTATGGTTGTTCGCATACGGTAAGGTTAGAGCATGACGATGTATGTTTCCTTTATGGTTATGAGCATGATGTTTGTGTATGCTTGGTGAGGGCTACTTACGGAGTATATTTTATATACTCACCCCCCTTCTACAATGATTGTTTCAGGTGAAGGACTCGTGGGTGACCATGGCGATAGAACGGAGGAGACATGACGAGCGAAGACCATAGGCTGCTTAGTTATTCCGGTTTAGTTTAAGTCATTGGTTAAGGCCTTATGTTGTGGCCAATAAACGGTTTATTTATATTTGAATAATTGAGAGATTTTTCCCTTGTTGTTAGTTTTGCTTCGGGATAGGTGCCTATTTGAGTTTATTCCATTTGTTTAGATTCAAATGGATTAAATAATAAACTTGCCTCGTGAAGTGGTTCACGAATGTTGTCGGATGTAATTCCATGAGATATATTTATCGTTAAATTGATGAGGATTGAATCTTGATTTTATAAGTTTGTGTGCAAACGAAGTTGGCAGAATGTAGCCGGGGTTGAATTTGATTAGTTGGGTAGTTAATGTGACCTAGAGGTGTGCGGAAAATTCTGGGTCGTTACAATTGGTATGAGAGCGGAGTTGTTCCTGTAGACTGTCCTAGAATCTAGGTCGTCAGTGTACAGTCCTTGTCAGTCTCCTCGTCATCACGAGGTACGTTTCCGAGTTCTGGATGTTCGATCATGAATGTCTTACATTGCTTATAATTGAGATATTATTATTGACTGATACTAGATAGGTCGGTGTGTTTCTTTGATTCATTATGTAGACTTTGCTTGAATTGTACACTTGTGTTGTACCCCGGTTAGTGTGTTAATGACCTTGGTGCTCTGTTCTCTGTTCCTTTAGACAATGGCTTTTCGACGGAACACGAGAGCTCACAACTACGAGGATCTGAACCCTAGGGGTGAAGAAGCAACAGATCCAAATGTTCCCCCGGCAGTTCCTGGAGGGTTAGTACCCCCAGTTCCGCAGGCAGCACCTCAGGGAGTTCCCCAAGTGAATCCCCAGGTGGCGTTACTAGCTGAGGCATTGCAAGTATTGTTGGATAATGCGAATGGAGCCGGTGGGGCTCAGGCGCAGCAGCCTCGCCGGGCACAGATTCAACAAGAGGAGGTCCAGTTTATCAGGGATTTCAAACGCTTCGGACCGACCGTTTTCAACGGGGTGAGTGAGAGGCCTACTGCGGCCGAGGAATGGGTCAAGGAGTTGGAAGCCCTTCATGTGTATTTGGGATGCTCCGACGAATTCAAGGTCCGGGGAGCAGTGTTTATGCTTCGGGGAGAAACAGTAAACTGGTGGAAGTCAGTGGCGGCAGCGGAGGATCACGACAACACACCCGTCACATGGACAAGGTTTAAGGACCTACTCTATGAGTACTATTTCCCCGTGACTGTCAGGAACGAAAAACGGGCAGAGTTTCTCCGTCTAACTCAAGGGAGCCTAACTGTGGCCCAATACGAGAGGAAGTTCACTGAGCTGTCCCGTTTTGGAATGCAATATATTCCTACTCAACAATTAAAGATTGACAAGTTCATTGACGGTTTGCGTAGGGAGATCAAGGGGCTACTTGTTCTCAAGGAGCCAACTACTTATGCAGCAGCAGTCAGGTGTGCGTTRGTTATGGACAAATGTCTYGAGGAGCCTYAGTCTCARCAGGTGATGGGCTCCAGCTCGGGGGTCAAGAGGAAATTTGCATCGTTCTCCTCYAGTCAACCCTCGAGGGGACACCAGCAGMTTGTGCAAAGGCAGACTGTTTCTCCGGTGTGCCCCTYTTGTAAGAGGAGCCATGYTGGRCCGTGTTGGGCGGGAAAGAGAATATGTTACAGGTGTCAGAAGGAAGGACATTTTGCAAGGGAGTGTCCGATGACCGGCTCGAATACCCAAGCTTTAGGCCAGAGGATCCCTGCG